CCTACCCTCTCCTGGAAGTATAACTGGTCCGGGTCCACCTTCCATAGGAACAGAGTTGTCGCTGTTTTCCTCTGGAAAGAAACGCAGCAGAATTCCAAAATTTATCATTTCACTCTTTCGCAATGTCTCTATTCACTTGACCTACCCTCTCCTGGAAGTATAACTGGTCCGGGTCCACCTTCCGTAGGAATAGAGTTGTCATCACTGGTTTCTGAAAAGAGCAGCGCAGTAAAATGCAACCTCCAGTACACATTTGTAGGTAGTGATCGGTGGCTGGAAGGTGGCGTAGTCTTGACAATGTCATCGCGGATGGGCATAAGATGCAGTACTGACCAAACCGTGGAGCGATGAAGGGTCAAGTTCACCAGTGACCTTCTGAGAGGTCATCAAAACTGCACCGCCCTCCAGCCATCGTGGTCGCCGCCTCTGAAGAAAAGTTTGCGTCACCTTCTCCTGGAAGTATTACTGGTCCGGGTCCACCTACAACGGGCACAGGGTTATTACTGCTCGTCCCTAAACACGTAGACATTAAGACACGTAGCTGTCATCCACCAGTTGGTCTTCCTCGCCTCATAAATGAATCACTTGCCTTACCTTCTCCTGGTAGTATAACCGGTCCGGGTCCACCTTCCATAGGAACAGAGTTGTCGCTGTTTTCCTCTGAAAAGAAACGCAGCAGAATTCCAAAACTTATCATTTCACTCTTTCGCAATGTCTCTATTCACTTGACCTACCCTCTCCTGGAAGTATAACTGGTCCGGGTCCACCTTCCGTAGGAATGGAGTTGTCACCACTGGTTTCTGAAAAGAACAACGCAGTCAAATGCAACCTCCAGTACACCATTTGTAGGTAGTGATCGGTGGCTGGAAGGTGGCGTAGTCTTGACAATGTCATCGCGGATGGGCATAAGATGCAGTACTGACCAAACCGTGGAGCGATGAAGGGTCAAGTTCACCAGTGACCTTCTGAGAGGTCATCAAAACTGCACCGCCCTCCAGCCATCGTGGTCGCCGCCTCTGAAGAAAAGTTTGCGTCACCTTCTCCTGGAAGTATTACTGGTCCGGGTCCACCTACAACGGGCACAGGGTTATTACTGCTCGTCCCTAAACACGTAGACATTAAGACACGTAGCTGTCATCCACCAGTTGGTCTTCTTCGCCTCATAAATGAATCACTTGCCTTACCTTCTCCTGGTAGTATAACCGGTCCGGGTCCACCTTCCATAGGAACAGAGTTGTCGCTGTTTACCTCTGAAAAGAAACACAGCAGAATTCCAAAATTTACCATTCCACTCTTTCGCAATGTCTCTATTCACTTGACCTACCCTCTCCTGGAAGTATTACTGGTCCGGGTCCACCTACAACGGGCACAGGGT